CATGAGAGAGAGAGAGAAAGGACGAGAAACAAGGTTGTCCAAGGTAGGTAGGTACACGCGTTAGCTGGCCTCTTGGTCTCGAGGTGCAAGCAGGTGGAGGTCAGGGCGCGAGTGGAATGGCCCTCGTCGTCGTTCAATTGGCCAACAACAGCAGCGTGGCTGGGGAACGGTTGAGGCGGTGACTACGCCATGAAAAAAGCGTTGCCAGGCAACAAGCCTGCCTTCTTTGCTCTGCCTTGCTGAGCTCGCATTAGCAATTTGTTCTGCATATCAGCTCGAAACCACCATCTGCCACGGTCTTCTACCTCTTGTGCTCGTTTTCCTCTTCCTCCTCCCTAGCCTCGGCCCGCTTTGGACGTCGTCATCACCTGCGGGGGTTGCAACTGCGGCTGGTTTCCGCCGTGTCGCTTCGGCAAAATTTTGCCTAGCACACCGCAACCAGCCGCACCAGCGGGAGCACCCAGCACTGCAGTGACCGCGGGCACCCCCCACAAGCTCAGAAGCGACGGTAGTGCATTAGAGGTGGTGGCGAGCTGATTTGGCTTGGGTGTGGGTGTGACCTTCCGTCGACAGCCACCGGCCTGGTCCACCCAAACGAGGCGACCCAGTGGCAAACACGTGGCTAGCCAACCGACCGCCGCCGGCAGCAACAACATGGGCTGTGGAGGGGAAGGGCATCCATGGCCATGGTTCAACTCTGTCGAAATCGCTCCCACGGGGGGTAGTAGTTGTCAAAGGGCATGCCGGTAGTCATGGGCTCCTCGGCAGAACGAGTTGTTCTGCTGTGGCATGGATATGATGGCGACTTGAGGCCGCAGCCGTCTGCTGCTCTGCTACACCACCGCACATCACAAACCGCATTTGTCTCGAGCCATCGATCCAAGCGGTCGTACATGCATCAGGGCATGTGGTGCACTTTGCGGTGGGCGAGTGTGGTGCAGATGGTGGCGAGCGTGTATCTCTGTGCCATGCTCTCGTTGCTGCTCCAGTGGGAGCCACTATTGTCGGCCATCGGTGCTGCGCCTGCGAGCCGTCTGCCTGCGAGCTCATGGCCGCATCTCATCACCTTCCTCACCTCGAGCCATGTCGGTCTCTCGGTCGACGACGCGTGTACTAGCCTGCTTGTCCTTGGTCTGGCGTGTGCCGCCGTTGCAGCGGTGGCTGCACCTAGGCTGGGGAGCTTGGCTATTGCGGTGGCCATGGGTGCGGCGTGGACGGCGTACGCGGCGGTGGTGGCCATGGGCGGCGTCTTTCTCTCCTTTCAGTGGGATCTGCTGCTGCTGGAGACTGGCGGCATTGTGGCGGGCGTGAGTCTGGCCGGGCGGAGCGGGGTGCGGCTCGGGCGGATGCTCCTCACGCTCCTCGCCATCAAGCTGATGCTCGGCTCGGGCGCAGCCAAGATGACGGCCGAGTGCTGGACATGGACCGAGCTCCGTGCGCTCTCGTTTCACTTTGCCACGCAGTGCATCCCGACGCCGCTAGCACCGTGGTTTGCGGCTCTTCCGCGCTGGCTCCTTGCTGCGGGGTGACCGGCACCTTTGCTGCCCAGATCTGGGCGCCCATCGTTTGGCTCCTCTTCCTCCCGTTTGGCGCCGCCGTCCACGCCGTCAAGCTTGTCTCGGCCGGCCATCTGCTATTCCAAGCCACCATCATGGCCTCGGGCAACTACACGTTCTTCAACCTTCTGGCGATGATTCTTTGCGCGGCGCCGGCGATCGACACCCCTGACATTGTCCCGCTCCTGCCCTCGTTCAACTACGGCGCGTCGGCGGTGGCGGGAGCAAGCGTCGCTGCTGCTGCCGCCTCGTGGTTTACCTGGGCCCCGGCCGACGGCCTGGCGCTGGGCGTCTCGTCGGGCGCGGTCTCGTCGCAGCTCGCCACCCTGGTGGTCCTTGTCATCTGCGTCGGCCTAGTCTATGGCGTCCTCGAAGTGGCGCTGATGGTGTACCGGGCGCGGTCGGTGGCGAGCGTGGTTGTTGCGGGCCTAGCGCTCACCTGGCTCGCGCTGTTTGTTGTGACCATGGCAGTGGCGTCGCCCGAGGCCAACATGGCGCTGCAGGGCGGGCTCTCGCGCGAGTTGTATGCGACGCTGCGGTGGGCGGCCTACGCATCGCGGACGGCATCGTCGTACGGGCTCTTCCGGCGGATGACCGGAATGGATCCGGCGGCGTCGCCCGACGTCCCGCTGGTGGCGCGGCCTGAGATCGAGCTCGAGTACTCGCTGGATGGCGGCGGGACGTGGGCGGTCCTCCCCTGGCGATACAAACCGAGCTCGCTTGACGGGCCGCTCCGCTTCGTCGCGCCGCACCAGCCGCGGCTCGACTGGCAGATGTGGTTTGCGGCGCTCGGCTCGTACCAGCACGCGCCGTGGCTTGTCCGCCTCGCGCTGCTCCCGCTGGCCGCGCCGGAGCGGGTAGTTCCGACCCTGCTTCCGATCCTGGGCGACGGCGCTGACGCCGTCCTCAACGCCACCGCCATCGCTGCGGCGCTGCCGCGCTCTCGACTTGTCCGCGCCACCCTCTTCCACTATGCCTTCACTGGATCACGCGCGGCAGCGGCGGCCGGCTCCAAGATCAGCCCCGCACCCTGGACGGCCGGGAGCGTGTGGGAGCGCGCCACCGCGGCCTCGTACTTTCCACCGATCTCGCCTGCCCAGCCGCAGGTCGCCGCCTTTATCGGTGAGCTGACTCCGAGCAAGGCGACACTCTTGGGCGAGCTCCGGCGACTTGCCACCGTCCATCTCGCGCCGCATGCTTTTGGTCTCTGTTGCGCCATGTGCTTGGCTCCTCTCCTCGGCTGGGTTTGGTGAGGTGGTGAGAGCAGAGCAATGAGTTTTACCTCTGATTCGATGTTGATCTGTGATGGGGCGAGTGTGTGATGATGGGGCGAGTGTGTGGTATGGGGCAGCGGGCGGCTGTGACGGGGTAGGGCGGGCGCTCACGGAGCAACCAACCAACCAACCGCAGCAAACCTCTCTCGGTACCTCTACCATGGCGGACAACCCGAACAGCATGCCCAAGTTCTTCCAGTTCCGCCCGCCGCATGTACGTGTTGAATACACTCGTTATTGTCCCTCTACTTCTGGACGAACACCCGTAATTGGGATGGTAGTGGGTTTGGGAAGGGGTGAGGAGGCGGGGAAGGGGGGGCGGGAGGATGGCGACCACGAATTTGTAGCCTAGCGGGGCTTGGATGAGGAGGTGCTTAGTCATGCGTACAGAGAGGAAGAAGGAGAGGAGGGCATGGGAAAGTAGACACGGAAGAAGAGAAGGCAAAGAAGTATGCGTGTGTAGAGTATGGATGATGTCTTGGATCCCTACCGGTTGTAGGAGGTGCTCCCGTACCCCCCCCCCCCCCCC